ATAGGAAAATAACTTCTCAACTGGAAGCTGGGATGCTAAAAGTGAGACATAAAACTGGAAACTTAGGCTGGGGTTTCAACTGATTGCACGAGTGGCTGGGAAATTCTGAAGTTTTTTTTTTTTTTTCTGTTGTTCCTTTAAAGGCAACTAACGACCAGGGCAGAGCTGTACAGTAAAAAGATTTATCTGGTAGCATGTGTAGGATGAATGAGTGTGGAGGGAGACTACAGAGGTGGAGACACCCATTCAGAGGCCATTTCAATGGCTCAGGTAGAAATGAGGACAACTGAACTGGGACAGTAGCAAGGGGGATTTAGATAAGAGCACAGATTTGAGATACTGAGATGGTAGAAAGAATAGGACAACTGTAGGTGGGTGATAGGGAAGAGGAAGTAGCACGCCAGGGCCCCAAGTCTGGGTGCTCAGCAGGGATTTAATGGGTGATTCCCCTGTGACTGATGATCCCATGACACTGCACCAGGCCTGCCTGAGCCCACTTGCATGTCTGCCTGTGACAGGGCTACTGTAGATCTGGCTGGTGATGCTGATGTGGCATTCTCACCACCCAAACCCAAAAGTGTGCCAACATCCATGGCTGACCAGGAAAAAGCCTGGGGACAAAGTTCAGAAGTCCCAACTTGGAAGTGGGGCTCTCCTATGAGTGTGACATATGACATTAAGGGAGAATTTCATTCCTGACTTTTCAAACCTCATCCATGTAAGAGACCAAAACCTCTCTCTGTGCTTAATGCTTATGGATTTTGTGAGGTCCACAAAACACTCAGGAATGTGGAAAACCCATATGAAGGGGAATTAACTAATACGACTGTCACTGACCTCTTCAAGCAATCTCTTCCATCTTCATCTTCACATACACCCAGATATCAGCACTGCCTAAGGCATATGTCCACATCCATCCCCCTCTCCACCCTCACCATCACTTGTTTTTTGTTTCTTTGATCCTAGAATTGAGAGATATTTAGCATAGGGATTGCCATAAAGATAGTTCTCTCCAAAATGCCACCAATTCTTTGCAGTATACTCAATATATATATTCATTTCTTTTCCACAATGAAATCAATTTAAACATTTTGAAGTCACTTGAATGTTTGAAATACTACTCTATCAACATTGTCAAATATTTTCTGAATCTTAACAATGCATAGGTCTTGGGGAGCCTTCAACACTGACCACAGAGGTTCATTACATTTACTCTTCTCTGACACACCAAAGACCCCCCAGCTTCAAAAATACATGAAGAGCAATAACCTATACTAACTCTGGATAAGAAAAAAACTTGTATTAGATTTATTGAAAGGTTGTTTGTTGGTCTCTCTGGTCTGACCATCTTGAAGGATATTTCTAAGGAAAATTTAACAATAGATGATTTAAGAATTTAACCTAACCCCTACATTATCTGAGCCTTTACAACATTCCTCAGATGCATAGAACCAGTGCCTATCACACACTAGAGCAAAAACCTGCTTCTTTAACAGAGCCGAGGCTGACATAGATTAGGCTTATGACAAGGAGGTGGTAGCCGAAGTTGCCCTGCCATTATGAACGTCTGATTGATGACTGGCCTCCAGGTCCTGGCTCCAGGGCTTTCAAACTGACTCAACCTTATCTGAGTATCAGAAAAAACACACAGGACAAGGGTTCTGTGAACTACACAGTGACTAGTAAACATTACATTTTATAAAACAGCAAAGAGAAAAGATTCTTTGTCTTTAAGATTTCCAGTAAGAAGGGCACATTTCTCTCTTATAAAGACTTGCATATGACAATATTTTTCAAGGAACTCAGCTCAGCTGGCACAGGAAACACATTATGGTCTACTGTAGCATGCCAATTCACTGCTCAGTACATTATGGAAACACAAATGCAATCATGATCCCCCAAGCCTTGAAGGTTCTGACTTTGTCTCCTCCCTTTCTTCGATTTTTTTTCTTTTTCATTGTCTTTCTTTCCTTGTACCTTTTCCTTCCCTTTTTCTCCCTCTTATTTTATATTGCACTATGATGTAGGAAAATTAAAGCAGCTCATCTCAAATAGGCGTGGGGGTATTTCTTTAATTAAAAAATTTCCTTGAAGAATTAAATGCCAAATTCCTTAGAACTTCTCAATGCAACAAAAGATAACTGTTTTAAGGCATGAAGGTAAGTTTTCCATCAGTGACTACATTTTGGAAATAAATGAAAGCCAGTGAAAAGCTGAATAGTCCTTACTTGGCAATTATTCAGCCCTTGGAAATTTCCAAGCCCTTTGCAATCATTAATTAATTAGTGAAGATGGTGTTCCACTTTACTGAGGCTGAGAGCGTGATATAAAGAGGTCTAGAGGCTTCCCTTAAACTGAAAGAGGAATGTCAAGGGAGGAACTGGGACTAGAATTAGGAGCTCATTTCTCAAGCCAGTAGTCACATTACCAAGCCAAGCAGAGTCAATATTGGGACAATACGGGCCTCTGTGCACAGGTGCAGTTGAATACAGCAGTGTTCTGCTCAAAGCTCAACTGTGAGAGAGCCCACCCCTTCCCCACCAGTGCCCCTACCACACACACACAGACTGTATCTGTAGCTTCATCAGGGCTCTCTCCCCTCTCCCAAAACACAGACAGATGGCTAAATATCACCCTCTAACCACTCTCCTTAATAATCACAGTGAAAAGTACATGATTTGATTTTCATTTTTAAAATGAACAATATGTTAAAATACATGACACTGTTGAAAAACAAATACTTCAATTTGTTTTAAATGAAATCCACTCACATCCAGAATCTGTAATAATGCAATAGATTACATTGAATAATTACCTTACTCCAATAAGAAGGAAAATTAAGTTTCATGCTTTCTGGTGAGTGGTTAATCAAAGTTCATTCAGTGACCCTGAGTGGGTTGGTGAAGACAGACTGAATGCTAGTGATGTAGCTGGACCTAACTTCCCGGAGCCAGGTCTTGCCATAGGTGCTCACTGTTTTCCCTACTGCACTGGATTGGTTCCAAATGTTGAAGAGGGGTAATCCCAAGTGCCCAGGGACATGATGGGAAAACAGGATTCTTGAAGACTGCTCACTGCTTGCCACCAATTATTCCCTTCACCTGGACATACTTTTGCTCTGTCTCCTTTGTTTCCCCAGATGGGGTGCTAGGATCCTTAAACAACTCAGGGCCCATGTCTTTCCCTCAGGCACATCACTCAGCTGTCCTATCAGTCACACTGCTTTGGACAGGACAAAACCACATAGCTAGTTGAACTTAAAGGTTGATGGCAATTGTCCCAGCCTAACTTTTACTCTTCCTTAGAGGAATTTGTTGTGGCTGTACCAAAGTGAGGTAGAGTTGAATAAACTCATTTTTTTATGAACCGGTCACTTCTGGGGCCTGGAGGGACTAATACAAATACACTATAATGTTAACAAAGGGCAAGGCTGTCCAGCTTGGCTATTTTGGACAAACTTTTTTAAACAAAATAAAACAAAACCAAATCCTTAATAACATTTCTTCTCATGAAAAGATTTTGCAAAGAAAGTCTTTCCAAGAGTAATGTTTTGAAAACACTTAACATATTACCTCGGAATCTTTATGTTGGAAAGCAAACATGGTTGGCCCACTTTCATGTATTGGGTATTCATAGGATTGACGGATGCCTCCAGCTACCCATAGGCCCCATTTTCTGGGAAGGGTTATCTTCCTAAAAGGAACCTGAAATTTATCTGGGCCACCATTAATAGACCAAATATTTTCACATGAGAATACTGGTTTAGTGAACACCCTACCCAGAGAGCAAGGACCTGGCAAATTCTTGTTATAATGTTGAAAATGTGAATGCATATGCCCAGAAATTGACAATCTCAGATATGTAAAGGAATACATATACATATTCCAACCTTCTATCCAGTTCACCCTCAAAATTACTGCTCAACTTCTCACTAATCAAGGGCTCTCCAATTTCTGATTTCTCACAGCTCTAACTATAAGGAAGGGAGGTTTCAGTTTCAGCCCAGTGGCTGGAAACTGGCTCAGTTTCTCTGTCTCACCCCTGCCAAGTAATTCTCTTGGGTCCTCTCATTATGGTAGGAGGAAACATCACATCCATCCTAGTACTCATGGAAAACACAGGTTGTAGGTGAGTAGGTATGTGTAGTATTCTACCTTACCTATTCACAGGAATTAACTGAACACGTTGACCTAAAAGACATACATGCTTGCAAGTAGATCAAACCATGAAAAAGTGACTGCCATAAAGAGAGTTTTTAGAAATTGACCAACACAGTTAAAGGCTGGACAATAAATTCCTCCTGGAGGACTAGTAATATGGATAACCATGGGGTAACAAACAAGTGCCATCATATTGCAGCCCCTTCTCAAAGGAAACTAGACACAGCGTCTGCATTACCTTAGATCACCAGTCTCCCGATCCTTGGCCACTTGTTCTGCCTCAGCAGCCACTATGGTACCAGCTTTGTTTGGGTTCTGACAGTTTTCCCAGGAGTCCAACCTGATAGCAACACATTTTATGTTGCCCTGCACACCTCTCACCCGCAAACCTGGGGATTTCCCATCCTTGCCAAGAATGGGATGTTGAAGATATTTAGTGCCCAAGTAAATGCAACATCTAAGTAAGTATAAGGTGGTTTCTGACCCACAGATGGAAGCTTTGATCAACTGGAGACAAGAGCTGGGAGATAAATTATTTCCCCTTCCTGCCCTTGAACAGGCAGTCCTGAGCTGCTATGGTTCATATGACCTTCTGGAAGATGATCCTCTAAGATGGAACAATTGGTTGTACTTGATAACAGTAGCCATACTAGTAACATATCCCCACATCCCCCAAAATGATCTTCCCTCATTCCTGCCTCACTCATGCTTCCCTGAAATTACACTTTCTAATGGAATAAAATAAACACATACACTTTTGTCTTAGGCTCTGCTTTCCAGGGAATGAAGGGCAAGATAGACACCCCATTATTCCCACCACTACAATAATGAGTTCCCTACCTTGGACTGCAGTGGTGGTACACTGGGCATTGAAACAGGATCTGTGATGTAGGTCTTCTTAGGACCAGCAACTGGATACATCCCAGGAGGGTTCTGGTTCCCTGTTCCAGGAGTGTACCCTTGTTCCCGCTTCCAGGTATTTGGGTGACCTTGTTGAGCATAGGCAGGATCCGGTTCATTTTTGCCTCCATAACCAGGCCCTGCTGGGCTATAGACTTCATAATAGCGTCCTTGGTTGTGGGCATACCCATACCCAGGCTCAGGCTGAAGTCCTGGTGGTGGAATATATGCATAATCCATGCCTCCCCGTGTTGTAGGAGGTGGACATTGCCCAGAGATGGGAACTGCTTGAGTATTATAGACCTGGGGCCCTGGCCCTGGGCCATAAAATTGTCCTGATGAAGGGGCAGTCATATAATGAGAGCTGGGCTGGGCTGACTTCACTTGTACATTGAAGGAAGGTCTTGAAGGAGTGGATGCTGTAGTGTAGGAGGCTGGGACTGGCTGAGGCTGGGGTTTTAGTGTCCCTATTGGAGCCACAGGGATGGGTCCAACCTGTGGTGCAGGCTGTGGCTTCAATGTAGACTTTTTGGTTGCTGTTAGAGGGGGTTGGTTTGGTATAACCATTCTCTTATGGCCTGTGACAGGGGTGGAGACTGGAGGAGAGGCTGTTGAACTAGTAGAGCCCTAAAGTGGGAGAAAGAGAGAAAAAAAGGATACAGATTAGTGCCAATGAAACACAAAATACATAAATATTAATAACTGCTATTATTATTTTTGTATTAATTTTGAAAAACACAAACAAGGTATAGTTCTGCCTTCTAAAGTTCACAGTCTAACATAAAAATTTAGTAGCATTTGTTTCTACTAATGAATAATTCAAAAAGGAAATTAAGTAAACAATTCCATTTACAATAGCATCAAAAAGAAAAAAATACTTAGGAATAAACTGAAGAGGAGAGAGACTTATATGCTGCAAAGTACAAAATGTTGCTGAAATAAAAATGACACAAATAAATGCATAGACATCCTGTTTTCATCAATTGGAGAACTAACATTGTAAAGATGTTAATACTACCCAGAGCAATCTACAATTTAATACAATTCCTATCAAAATCCCAATAGCACTCTTTTGCAAAATAGAAAAATCCAGTCTAAAATCCATATGGAATTTCAAGAGATTGAATAGCTAAAACAGTTTTAAAAAAAAAGACCAAAATTGGAGTTCTCACCTGTATGGTTTCAAAACTTACTACAAAACTTCGATAATCAAAACTGTAATGGTGGCATAAACACAGACATATAGACCAACTGAACAGAATAAAGACCCAGAAATAAACCCTTGCATACATGGTCAATTTATTTTTGATAAGGGTGCCAAAGAACTATGATGGGGAAAGGACAGTTTTGTCAACAAATGGTGCTGGGAAAACTGGATATTCACATTTAGAAGACTGAAGTTGAATCCTTATTCTACAGCACAAAAATTTTAGCTCTACTTTAAGTGCTAAAACTATAAAAACCTTAGAAGAAAACAGGAGACAAAATTAACACTGGAATTGACAATGATATACACACACACACACACACACATATATAATGATATATACATTTATATATATAATATATATACAAATATGTAAGAATATATATATGTATATATCATCATACATGTGTGTGTATATGTGTATTACATATGGATACACAAAGACCAAAAACACTATCAACAAAATAAAACAGAGAAATTGAACAACACAATCTCTATCAAACTACTCAGAGACTTAGTCCCCAAACTACTGATAGAAGGTACTAGAGAAAGTGAGCTGGAGGACTGGGGAGAGAAAACAAGAAAAGCAGAGGGTTATTGAGAGAAACAGACACCTCTAGTACAATCGAAGAGTACTAAATTTGAGATCAAAGATTCCTGTCCGAGTGATTTAGCAAAGATAACTCAAATGCAAACTGCTCATCCTTTCATAGCTTCTTGATTTCGGTTGCATTCATTTGTTCAATTCAGTAATACTTACAGAATGTCCTAAGGATAAAACAATGAGGAGACCTTACTGCCAAACTACTATGAGAGGACTTGGGGCCAGTGAAGGCTTAGGGAAGACTTGGAGATTTAAACCTTCACACTCAGGCATTAGCCTATTAGGGATATGCAAATATGGAAGCGACAGAATTTTTTCATTTTGTTCTGAGTTACTAGAATTTGATTTGTAGATACCACAAATGAATGATCCTACCCTGGTTTTGTTGTTTATTTATTTTCAGGTAAATTCCAATATACATAGGAAGAGACTGTCTAGTCCTATAGTGTCCCTTACCCTCACCAAGCCGCTTGAGATATACACATCTGAGATGGATGCTGCTAAGTGCTCTTTCATACCCATGCCCTTTCTTCATCCTTCAAAGAATTTCAATTTTTTTTCAAGACAACAATGTTCCCATTTGAAACACTTCCCTAAACTGCTTTGCAGGTAGGAGTTGCCATGTGACACAGTTCTGGCCAATGAGATGTAGGCTACCATTTCTGGAAAAACTCAGGTTCTCCTGACAGCATCATCCCTTCCTACTTCTCCTTTTTCCTCTTTCTCGCCTAGGATAGGCACATGGGGCTGAAGGGAGTGAAGCTCTCCTGCTCCTGCCATAATATTGTCTACTGATTCAGTTGTATGACTTTCTGTGGATAGCTCTCTGGGGATCTAGGTTGATTCAGAGAAAGAGCAAAACATTCCCAGGGTCATTTGGTTAACATTTAGTGGTTCTCAACTGGACAGGAAACTACCTACTGACCAGGGGGAGTTTGGAAATGAGTGGGGAGATTTTTTATTGTCACAGCAACCAGGAGATGCTATTATCATTGAATGGGTTGGAGACAAAATATATCATTGTCAAAACCAAGATGACAGTAGTGCCCCTGCTGAGGGACAGTGACAGACTCTTGGGCCACATTTCTTCTGGGAACCTGTTTGTGTGGTTTCTGGTTGTCCGCCAAGGAGGGTAACTGGTCCTCCCTAGGATCTCTCCTCTACAACACTCTCTCCTTCCCGGTTTAAGTACCTGCTCTCTCTCCCTGGTCCTCTTGAGTCTAGAGATGGCAGCTCTGACTCAGGAAGCCCCAGATTACCACCCTATCCCCTATTGCTTCTCTATACCTACACGTGCTATGTGTACAATGCATTTATAAAGCAGCTCCTTGCAAGGTCCTAGTCCCAGTGTGCTATTATTTCTGTGGGGATCACGACTGTTACAGCTACCTTTTCCATATTTGTCTCAATGATGCTTTCCTAAGGATTTTGTAATTTTTGATGTAGTTCTCCATTAAGTTGTAGGAAGCTCTTGAATAGAATCACTTTTTTTTTTCTTTTGTTGAAACTAGCCTTTCAGGGGGCAGACTTGCCATTTACTTTTGTAATTTAGGCAACCTGCATATCCTTATCTTGGTGGAGTAGTGTTTCCTTCTGTATGAAGATGGTCTCGATAGTACCTAATACCAAGAGATGTGGTTTCCTCATCAAGGAATTTATTAAAACATATACCCTAAAGAAATCCCTACATAAATATTTAGTTAAGACTCTGGCATTCTGTAACAGAGAGCATGGAAGAGTGAATTTGAACCTAGAAAAAAAAATGTAAAGTCAGATTTTTCCAGTCAACCATGTCCATCTTAAAAAAAAAATGTCAGCATAAATGGAATTGAATATAAGAAGGAATAAAGCTTTTCTTTTCTTTGATGACTCAAAATCAGCAGAAACCCAGAGTTCCTTATTTGGACACTTTACAAACCCAACTAAAACTTGAGGCAGTGACTGAGCAACTGGGCTAATGACAGACACACTCTCTGCAGCAGCTGTAAAGTCTGCCCCCGAAACACATACTGCAGAAGTCCCATACTGTGAAAATGAAAACCAATCACATTCATAAAGGACACAAAACACAATTAATGTAGATCTAATTCCTGAGAAGCAACTTTTTCAGCAAGTTTCTCTTCTTTTTCCTTCTTGGTGAACGAAAACACACACACACACACACACACAGCCGAGATGCTCCTAAAGTCTTTGAAGGAAGGCACATCAGGACACAATTCCAGGGGTCATCACTTTCTTCTAGTAACGATCCCATGAGTAGAGCTGTCTTTGGGATGAGAAGGTTTCTTACAACGTTATTACGAATTCTACTGTGCATGCGCCAGCATGTTTCTGAGCATTTTCTATATCATAACTATGTGTGTGAAAAGAACGCATTTAGCTGTATTTTTTCCTTTGCAATTTTACATTCTTTACCTCATTGGAGGTAGAAGGGGTAAAGAACATGAATCATTTTAAGGCATATTTATTTATGCTCTTCATGGTTAAAGAAAGATATGGCAACACTTTTCTGGCCCACACATTCAATTAAATACATAGTGAATCTTTTCTACTTACTGGATTAGTCGGCACTTTCAAGTATTTATTTTTGGTATATCATTTCTTTTTTGTTTTTGTAGGAATTCTTAAAGTTTTATCATGATTTAACATTTTCATTTTGAAAATCACACACATTTAAAAATTATACTCCTATAATAAATATATATATATACACACACACATGCACACATAAGTATACACACACACATATGGATTTTTTTTTCTCTGAGACTTGAATCTCTGTAGCAATCTTTTATGTGGTTATTTTTTCCATTAATTATTTTCTGAGCATCTTCAAGCTATAAAGCTCTGTGAGGTTAATGGGAGGAGAAGAGCATCCAAGGATGAATAGTGCCCCTCGTCCCCAGTTGACAGTCTGGTAGAGGGGCTAATAAATAACAACTGTTTAAATAACTGTCTCCAAACCAGACAGAACTGGCATGGCCATGAGACAAGTGCCGGTGGTGGGGTGGGGAGGGTGCTGTGTCAGAACCTCTCATTCTCACCTATGAGGCAGGTCCTCAATTTCCTTTTTTCCCAAGTCAGGGTAACATCTTACATTCCTCTCTCTTACCCCCACCCAACTGTTCCCTAAACACACTTGCATGTACAAACACACACACACACACACACACACATCCCATTCTAATCTACTACTATGTTTTCTGTGTACTCCCTGCTTATGTCTCACATCCCTGTCTTTTACTCCAGTCTCACTCCCTCTCCCCTAGTTTCGGTTGCCATCATCACTTCCCTAAGCTATTTACTGCTATGATCTAACCTCACCTCCCTCTCATCCCTTCTCCTCAATACCTCACAGTGACCTCTCTAAAAGGAACTTTTGATCCTAGCTCTCTGCTGATACAATTTGCCTTGTGCAGAACTTTTTATTTTATGCAACACTTTTTTTTTATGTACTTTACAAAGACTTCCCAATCCAGCCCTTGCCTCTGTGCTTAGCCACCACCTTTCCCCCCATCATTCAGCATACACTCCAGCAATAGGCTTATACAGAGACTGGATTGACCATGCATTCCTGTCTATAGTACTCACATTGGTCACCCAGGACCTTCCACTATGGTCTCTGATCCATTCTACCCAACTCTATCATGTTTCTCCCCTGGGCTCAAACACTGCCATCTTCTTCCTGCAGTTGCCTACTTACTTTTCAAGTCTCAGATCAAAAGGTGCCTCTTCTCCATATGTCTTTCTTGCCTCCTCTGCAAAGATTTTGAGGTTCCTTCTATGGTCATCCTTCAGTTCTACTTTTGTACAATT